TATATAAGCATTCTGCATAAAAGGATCAAAAGGCACAAAAGTAAATTATAATAGCTTATAATAGTACTTGCATAAATGTAAAGGTATACTAATACTCATGCTAACACTACATTATTTATTATACTTTTTACTTTAAAATTATTTTAATAGTATTAATAATCAAATAATTATGGAGTAGTTAGAAGAATGTTGGAGGTTAGAAGAATGACTCGATAACTAAAATCTTAATATATAAAGTTTTGCATTCTAATGTAATTTCAAAAGTCATTTTAATTTTTTTTTTTTTTTATGCAGCTTTTATTTAATGAAGAAAGATCGCCAGGATCTTAAGTGACAACCCCCTGTCCATTTCTCCCAATGGTGATCATGTATTGTCACCCTGTGATACAAGCCTCCAGTGGAGAACACTACTACTACCTTTTAATACATACTACGCAGGAATAGCCACTGTTGTGACCATCAAGGAACCTGTCCTAAAAAGAAGGAATTCAGCCATGACTGGAGTGAAAACATCTAGGCAGGAAGCAGCTGTAAAGAGGATGCATGGGATCTTCAGCACTGAGATGCAACAAAGGATTAAAAAGGGTGAAGATAAGTATTATATTTTATTTAAATGGCAATTGTTTATGGTGCATGGTGCTTTAGAAACAAAGTGTCATCCAGTTAGGGGTTCCATCTACTTTAAACCTGAACTTGCACACATCGAAACACACAGTTAAAATACATACATGGCAACTGCTTTACCTGCTAAATCAACTGTATTTCAGTCCATCCAGTCCAAGATATAGAAATAAACAGCCCTGATAAACAGGGATGCTAGGGCAGTGACCTGAGATTCCTTTACTGAGGTTTTGTACTACAGTTCCCTTTCTTGCAGCCAGCCAATTATTAGATAGTGAAGGAGCAGCTCATTCCTCTGCTCTCTACTCCTGTCAGTGCATTCCTAGTACAATGCAGAACACTTGGTGCTGCCCCTCCCTCTCCCAGTCTAAGGTGTACTGTACAGGGGATTACAAGAGGCTAATACAAGTCTATTCCGGTTACTACGTTTTATTTAAAAAGAAATATTGTATGTTATATTGAATATAGTGCATTCATTGGTGAGGCCAGCACATGGATTCGCGTGAGACAAAACCTGTGGTGAATCTTGCTGCTTTGCTTTGCACCAATTTTCACAGATGATGTACAATCTATGGTTCTGTAACTTGCATTATTTCTGATCACATGTGCCAATGTTGTCAAATTTTCTGGGCGTCCTATATAGCCTTTGGCAACCTTGCAGACCCAGGAAACAGCTTGCCTGCCTTATGCAGCAGCTAATTAGTGGGCGTGGCATTCCTCCTGTAGAAAAACAAAACCCTGCACCTAGGTGCTGGCTGCCATTTCATGTTTTGTGTGAGGAGGGAAAGATTGGGAGAGGGCAATGCGTTGTAAATGGTAAGGTATTCTATAAGTTCAAGGCTTCTATAGGTTCATTTTCTTATATATATATTCTTATGTATATCTATCTATAAAATATTTTTCTTTATATATTTGTGTATAGTTATTTTTCTCTTTTATCCTATTTGCACACCACTAACGCCATAATTCCTATACTGGTTACCATGCGGGATAGATCCTATTTTCTACTTTTTGACCACCTTTCTATTCTCTCATTTCCATTCTTATTTGCTTCCACTGCATGGGCTCCACCACTAAACTCTTTGTGCACTAAATGGTTGCTGGGGAGCTGGCAGTCGGTGGTGCTCCTCCCACAGGCCTATCCTGCTGTGTTTCAATCCCCCAGCTAGCATGCAATCCTGCCATTGATGAAAGGTGCAGGGGCCACCAGGACACTGTGCAGGCTGCCTGCTGTTGTCCTTGTAACCAATTAGGTCAATGGTTGCTGGGATGCTGGTGGGTGGCCCTCACAGCATCCTTTGACAACAAAGGACACCAAATAACAATCAGTGCCTTTTTTTATAATAAAAAGTGGTATACTTGATCCAATGGCTGGCTGGTTTTCAATGTATGCAATATATTGTCATTTTTGCACAGCACACCTGATGATTCCAAATGGCACCCCAGGGTGCTGCGGCACACTGGTTGAAAAAAGCCTGGTGTAGACAATATACTGTAGCTGTATCGAGGCGCACTCAGGACTTGACAAAATAAGTACAGATTTTAACAAGGAAATGTATTGTGTGTCTGACATTTCAGTTAGGTGCAGGCTTCTTTTATCAAGACCCGGAAAGCAGTCAATAGTATTTTTGGAAACTAATGACACCAGTTAGCAAACTAGTTATGGCCAATGGCATGAACGGGGGAAAGGCAAATCAGGGCATATAAAACCCTCCTTTACACTTCTCCTCTGTTGTGTCAATATACTCCTTTCCTGTCTCTGACAATGAGAGGGTGGCAGGTATTAGGTAGTGCTTTGTGCAAATCAACATTAGTTGAACATTTGGAAAAATACTACTTCTGCACTGCTATAAGTGTGCAAAGTGTATTTTTTTATTTTTAAAATTACAAGTAGCAATTTGTATCCCAGACGTTAGCCACCATATATTATACAATCTTATTTTTCAATCTTCTTTAGATTTACTGTATATTAAGTTGCAGTTTCAAAAGCAAGCAAAATACTTTTTTTTGTATTAAAGAGGAATAGACTCCAGAGAGAGACATAATCCTGCCTCTATACAATGCATTAGTAAGACCTCATCTGGAACACGCTGTTCATTTTTGGGTACCAGTTCACAAAAAGGATGTTGTGCAACTGGAGAGAGTGCAGAGAAGGGCAACTAAACTGATGAGGCATGGGGGAACTCAGCTATTAGGAAAGCTTAGCTGATTTTGTTCTCTATTGAGAAAAAGCATTTAAGGGAGATATGATCACCATGTATAAATACATAAACAGTCCACATAAAGTTATTCACTATAAGGTCATTGTAAAGGACTAAGGGGCACTCTGTGCATCTGGAGGAAAATAGGCTTAATCTCTGCATACTGAAAGGCTTCTTCACATTAAGAGCTGTGCAAATATGGAATAGGCTACCTGAGGAAAAAAATGGCAGGCTGCAAGACTAAATGCATAGAATAAAACTGGACATTACATTTTATAAGTGATAACGCCAGAGATTGTTGTTTCAGGTAATATCCGATTGCCTTAGGGGATCAGGAAGGTAATTTTCCCCTACTGGAGCAAAATGGACTTTGCTTTTTAAGGGGTGTGTTTTTTTGCCTTCCTCTGAACCAAGTGGAGCTAACTGTGCATATAGGATTCTGGAGGTTTTCTGTTTATTTACTGTTTCCTCATCGGGGGGATTAAGGTAATAACAGAGCAGGAGAAAAAGGTGAAGACGTGTACTTCATGACCCCTGCCTATTCCCTTGTATTATGTTATTAATGGTATTGGCTATAGTGATTTTGCCTTCTTCTGTGAATTACCGTGAATTATGTTCATAACACTATGTACATACAGTATATAAAAAATATTTATGTGTCCCATTAGCACTCTTACTGCCGCACTTACTAACAAATGACATGCCATTTACCATTAAGCTGCTTTATAGTTGCACGTTCTGGAAATCACTTGTAAGTTTAGAAAATGCATCCAAAAACTCTTTGGTTTTTAGAAGTTGATAGTGCACTATTAGATTTGGTTAAAAATTGGTGAACACTCATTGTGGGAGGGGAACACATCTTCTGAGGAAGTTTATAGGTTTGTATCAGCAGTGTTGCCATAATCTGTATACTCAACAGTTAAGCCAGTTTTAATTTGTTTATTTTTTAATTACTTTACAGATCTTAAAGGAGAACAGCTCGCACGAGACCACCGCAGCCGGGACGGATCCCGACACTACTGTGAAGATCCACCCAGCTGCGTGAGTGACAGCTGGCTCTGCCTATCTAGAGGCAGACCTAGCTGTGCCCGCCACCTCCCCCTACTGTTCCGCCAGTCTGCGCTGGAGGAGCGGGGAGGGGGGAGGGAATCCCTGCAGGGAGTCACGGCTCTCTGCAGGGACATGATCGAGAAGTGAACGAGCGACGGTAAGCATTCGCTTATTTCCCTATCTATTGAGCCGACGTGTGACAGTTTAATTGTCACACGCGGGCTCGAACTATGAGGTTGAGTGAAAATCACTCACCTCATAGTTTTCCTGTAATGACCTACTGTAGGCAATTCCTTTAAAAAAATAAATTCCCTATTCCCAAGCAGTGAACAAAATGAGAAAGCAGCTGAGGCTGAAATACTTAATTCCAAAGCTGTAACCTACAGTTCTTTTTTGCCACAAGATGTTCTCCTGATTGAATGACAAAAGATCTTTCAACTCAGAAGACTAAAAAAACATACTATAAATGTAGGGCATGATACACCTTTTGATTACGTCAATGGTGCTCTCTGCATCTCCAAAGAATGCCCACCAATGAAGAAGATCTTTAGAGGGAGAGGAACCTTTGAAAAAAGCTAGGTATTTCAGGGAGAGGGGTTGTCACTTGTGGAAGGCCTGCGTGTCCAGAGTTAAGATTTAAGTAATCCAATTCATCCTCTGAAAGAAAGTATAATTTAAATGCTCAACACTGATATTGGAAAGCAGCACATGTACCATTGTTCCTATTTGAAGTTTCTGAAATATTGTCCTGTAGGTTGTTCTCTACAGAGGCCTCTATTAGGGTTGCATGATTTACCAGTAATGTAAAAGGGGTTTTTATCAGGGGCATA